GACTTAACGTTATGAGCTTATTAATTTGTTTTTCTTCGCTTGTTGCAACAATTGTTTTTCCAATATGTTCGAATACGTTGCATATCCCAATCATAACCATTATTCTGAAGACTGCTTAAGATTTCGATAGCTATGTCTTCGGAGAAAGAATCATAATTGAGTATATTTTCGAGTATCTTTTTTTCGATATTTGTTGTGTGTCTACGTTGACACTTTACACATTGATTGTCTTCACGAGATTGCTGTCTTGCATTGTTATTTTCGACCTGATTACTTTGCGATGGTTGAACTCGATTGTTTTGTGACAGTGAAATTACTAATTTATGCACTACTACATTTTTTTTTCGACGTCCTTTTGTGTCTCGGGCATCAGTTTTGTAAACATCTTGACGTAAGATTGCCTCAAGTCGAGCTATACCAATGTCATAACATGTTAGTATCCTAGAAAAGCCTACACTAGTCATTTCCTGTGTGTCTATAAACAATTCATGGGTTTTTGGATCAGGTAAGGAAAAGGCATCAAGTAACTCATTCGCCAACTTCCATAGACATTTATTCCGTGGTTGCACAACTCGATCCTCCTTAACTGAAATCATATCGCCCATATATTCTGACATTAGTAATTCTAACCTCTCTCTCTCGGATTGCACCGAACCTATTTGCAATTTTAATTCTTCAGCATCTACCGTTCTTCCCCTGATATTTTGTTTTACGAACATCACTCCAAACCGTTCAAGCGCCTCGTCGAACGCGAAAAAGTACCCTGGGCGTGTGAGATTTATGGAACAGACACATCGCAGCAATTCTTGGAGATGTTGGTCATCATTAATATAAGCCAGGAAGTGCGTCACAGACCTAGTATAATTGACTTTCCCAGCAACAGGAAAAATAGGTGAAAACGCTGCGAGGTTTTTGATTTGCATTTCATAATCGCCCTGACGAATACCAATTTTATGCCCAACCCAATACCCAGCCCAACAAAAAAAATGGTACCAGATTCTCAGGACGTAATTTTCCCCACTTTCAATATCATTCATGGTTTGACTTGTATTACGCTGATATTTACAAATTGCGATCCCCACAGCAACCCAAATTAATTCTAGAACTCGGCATGTGGCTTAGTAATCCACAACTTTTTCTAATTTATCGAGGAAGCAGACACCAAGTTTGGCAGCCATCTTAGCGATACCATATCCTGAAAACGTATTTATAAGTGTACTCATATACAACGGGAGGTGTACTATTGACCTAAAAGAGGCCTTATGGCTTTATCTCTGTTGTTTTCCTTGTATGAAATTAACTGGCGAAAGATCGCCTCGTCATATGCGATATCTAGGCATCCCGTATTTGCTATTCCTACATCATCAAAATATAAATCGCATGCCTTATGAACGTTTTCATCGCAATTTGGGTTATCACCCGGCTTAAGGATTACAATTTTCGGTGGTTGCACTTGATACCCAATCGGTACTTCCCGCGAAATTTCTTGTAAAATGTCATCCACGTCCCAGTTGTCACCATTTGTGTTCATGAGATGCTAAATGATTGTCTCATATGAAGAAAGAAGATGGTTTGTGAAATCAGAAGTACCAAATAAAGATTGGTTATTTCTAAAAGAATCATTATTGATAATGTTATTACGATATTGAAGTGGTTCCGGCATAACAAATTGAAATACCATTCTCAAAGTCATATGCACAGTTTTACGAGTCACATCGTAAATATTTCTATACATAAACGTTTGTTCAAAAAAATCTATATTGTCAATAACTAAAAGGTTCCATACATTAGTACCTCGTAACAATCTCTCTTCCGGTTTTGTTTCATGCAGACGAACTTTTTCCAGAAGTCTTTCATGTTGTTGGGTGTGGGACACTACATTAGCAATACATAGTATATTATATAGATAGTGGAGCAATTTTGGCTTTCTACAAAGTGAACTCATAGTATGAGTAAGCCATATGTTCATCCCTGGGAATGCTATGTTTAAAATCATTGAGGTAAGAAATACAACTATTTTAGTTACACGACTTGTATCGAAAGTTTTCAATAGATGGCCCCTTTGTTTTCTTTTTTTCATAACTACAATATGTTTCTTTCTTTGCAATGTATCTATAAATCCATTAAAAAATTTTGATAAGCATTGAGGAAACCCTTCTTGATATTGTGTTAATGATACTGGGTTCTCGAGTTTTACTTTATTTTTTTGTATATTACTTCGCGCACTCCAAATAGCAGCTCCTAGAGCCCTTCCGAGATCAGCAGCTGTTTCAGTAGTAATGGTGTATTTTTGTTCAAAGATTTTTGTTAAATGAACATGGCCTAATCTTAAGGCTGTCTTAACAAAGAAGGGACTAGGTGAACTCACTAACTCTGTAGATGATTTTATGTCAAGAGACGTTTGTAAAACATGAACCAGACTCACTAAAAGACTTTTTTTTTTACTTTCATCAGTGGTTTCCGCTATATGCAAAATCCAACGACCTAAAATTTTAAGTGCCTCACTTGTATCGTTCTTATGCATATTTGTACAATCGAAATTTGGTTTGTTTCCACAGCCCTGTCTTTCATAAAAATGCCCCCCATGAGCAACAAAGCATTCAGAACAAACATACCGAGGCCTATATTCAGCATCTGGATTATCATTAAATATTTTTGGTTCCACCGTTTGTTCAAATACAGGGCAGATCATAAGCCCAACACATGGTATTTGAACGTTTTTTCCAAAAACATTCTTTGAATGTTGTACACACGTCTTACCTCTACTAAAAAAATACTTGGACTTATTACAAAACAAGCAACGTCGGCAAAAGACCCAGCTCTTCTCGATTGATCGTGTTTGTTTAGCATTTGGACAATGCAGTTGGTTCTGGTCAAAATTAAAATGAGACTGGCAGACACCTATCATCAGTAGCTTGTTTTCTCTTTGCGCCTGGTGAAAAATTGTTTTATCAATTTCCCACGCACCAACAAGTTGGGAGAGTGGTCTTTGTTTTGATGAATGAGCCAAGCAGCATTGAATGCGGCCACTAGTAATATCTATGATCGAACATGGTGTCAAAATTTGGCTGCTGTTGTTTTTTCCTAATGTTAAGTTTTCAATGAAGTATTCATTTTCATTTGAACCAGATATAGAAGGTGCTGAATCGAACTCTGATGATGTCAGTATATCACTACTATCTACTTCAATATCATCACCATCTATGTCAGTTAAAAAAATTAAATCGCTATTTTCTTCAGCTTCTGCCAAAACCCGTGCTCTTTCAAACCTGACTTCATCGAAAAGAAAAGGGTTAATTTCTACATCAAAGTCTAATACATTTTCAGTAGTACTCCCTGTTTCAACCCCATCCGATATAAGACTTTCATTTGTCAATTCCATGCTTTCAACGTCTTCTATGTCATCATCCAGAACATACTCAAAGTTATTAATTAAGTCACTAAGAAACATTTTATTGATTTCTCTTTCCGAGTCCATGCCTTAAATTTTTTACAAGATAGCATAAAGAGGTAAAATTTTAATTCAAAAAGAAAAATTCGATGAATATTTAAAACGAACGTTATCGTTATCGTTATATTGATATTTGCTGTTATAATTTATAAAATTGTGTAACTTTGGTTGAAGATTCTTTAAAAACTAGAAGTGTTACAATATCTAAAATGGAACAGTTAAAAAGAAAAGTATGTCAAGTGCTATTTAGTTTAGCAAGATTTAACAACATAACTCGTGTTGTAAGGATGTTCGTATAGGAGCAAAGTTGCTGTAAAAGCAATTTTTTCGTAAAAAATATATAAATTTAATATGTTGATTGAACGTCGATCCCTTAATTGATACACTTGCACAAGGATTAAGGGAACATATTTGTTGACCGATATTAATAAAGTTCTGACCAAGTAAACCTGTGATTGCATGTGGCGTTATTAAACCTGAGTCTTCATTAGTTGGAGAACTTCTGCAGAACTAAAGAGATAATAATTTAAGAATTAATAAAGGAAAACAATAAAGAGAAAGTATTAAGATAAGAAAAGAGACATATCTTGTTCGACCAAATCGTACGCTTCGGCCGGGAAAGCCTTAATCACCTAGTTAACGTTACGCGAGCAATCTGATTGTAGACATATTGCTTTTGTGTTGTTGGTTGGTGATATTTCCATATAATAATTGTATAAATGAAAAAAAACCTTATGTCTCAGATTAAATACACTTTATTATCATAGACATATTGCATCATCGTGGCCTAAAGTGATCACTCAGCCAAGCCGAGTTCTTTTACGTTTTTTTCCTGATATTTCTTTAGAGAAATGTCTCGAAACAATAAATACGATATCGGTAGTACAAAATATAAAACCACTGATAAAGTGATTCGTATTTTTCGGCATCTGATAGCGAATCAATAGTAAACAGATAAACCTCAGCTACGTTTACTTGAGGTGGTGATTCTTTGCACTAATAAAGTCAATAAACCACCAAGAAGTTGCCGGTTTTTATTACAAAAAACCTGATAAAAAAACGAAACCTTTTTCTTGAAATGGACTATGTTCCATTCTCAAGACAAAGATTTGTTTTAAAAATGGCCTAATGAGACTATGTCCCATTGTTGTGTTTACATTTTTCGAAAATCTATGTTTTATAAGCAAATTTCTCTGTTTAACAACAACAGATTGATCAGCCAATGAGTGAACGTGGATTTGAATACGAGACATGTGAATTTTTACCAATCAAATAAATAACGAATTACAATTACCGGGAAATACGCAAAAAAAAAAATTGCAAAATTTATTTTTGTAATTTTAAATTTCAAGGCAGAATTTATTATAAAAACAAATTGTCACTAGTTGAGTTAGGGAAAATTAAAAATGTTTTAGATCGTTTTTAATTGTAAATTTTAAAACATCGCATTTACTATGCATTGATACAACTCGAGTTAAACAAAACATGCTAACTAATAAAAAAAAACGAAGTTATACACTTCTTTGACTATTGAACAACATAAAATATACTACTTTTTTCCCCCTCCTCTCTTGCCTATTTCTTTTTTATTATTATCCTTTTTTGATGGGGGCGTATACGTCATTTCTGTAACAAATAGAGATGCTTTAATTTTTTCAGGTGGTGTACGTAAGCCAGCTTCCATAATATATTCACGTAGTTCACTTAAACCTTTACAAAGCATTTCCTATAAACAATAGAATAAATTTAATTTGTACATACAAGAACTAATTGAAAAAATATCTCAAAAAAAATAAGGACGTATACTTTAAATAAAAGGAATTTCGGGATGCATTGACGCATCTGCGCTAAATTAACTTGACTTGTTGGTAATTCTGTTCGTATTACTTCTCTAAATAAGTATAATTCTCGATACGGTACGGTCATTTCGTATACAATTGCATTGTGATCTACAATTATTTAAAAATCAATAACCAAGACAAAAAACATAAGATTATCATTAAATATACTGAGAACATTTATCATAAATCTGCAAAGCGTAAAGCTTCAATAAATTGAAAATAGTACTATCCCCATCATAAACTCGAGCTATTCTATTTAGCATTATTTTTAACATTTTCTCGATCTTTATTTTATCAGTAAAATAATGCGAATGTAGTCGTTGGTTGGGGGTTCACTAACTTCACAAATTGCGAACTCTACCTTTGGAGGTTTTGTGGCCCAAACGGCATCAATCTTTCGTCCCGAACTTCAGTCTTCTGCGTCGTTCTTCTTTAAATCGGCTTCTTCAGCCGATGCGTATAAGCATACCTCGCTACTTAATAAATAGATAACAAATTGATATTTATCTGATGATCGGTAAAAATAGCAATTTAAAATGATACAATCCATTATTTACAAAAAGAGATCCAGGTCCGTGAGTTATATAATAGTTACGTACATATTCATGTGATTGTACGTGCCTGTAGACGCTCCGCCGTAGACGCTCCGCCTGAAGGATGGGGTAACAACGTGATATGAATCACGGGTCTAGGTACAAAAAGTTACATTTGTTACATTTTTGATCCGAAAAGGTATACGAGCTACCAAGTGAAATAAAAATAACCAAAGATGACATTTACGCTTTAGTTAAATATGTA